CGAACATTTTAAGTAACAAAAACACAATTTTATAAGTTACATTAAAAATTCTGATTAGGTCTTTTTTACTTAAAAACAACTTAAAATGTTTGATGTTAAATGAAGTTAAATGAAGTTAAATTAATATTGTAATATTCATATTAAAGGGACTCTGACTTGTCGAGGGCGGGGATGGTCCTCTTGGCGGTGATGGCTCTGAACCGGAGGATGATGTGGATGCAGAGGAAGACTGCGATGCTGTCGTAGCAGTCGGACACATACGTGGACATACTCTTCTGCAGAGACGGAGCAGATGACAGAAACAGTACGATTACCTCAGTGTAATAGTAGCTTACCTCAGGTGTATAGTAGGATGTACACTCAGTATGCGTAGATTACCTCAGTGATATAAGTAGATTACCTCAGATGTATAGTAGATCATACCTCAGACGTATTGTAGTAGATTACCGGTTCAGGTATATGGTAGATTTCCTTCAGAATATGTACGACTTACCTACAGTCATGTAGTACGATTACCTCCAGTATGCAGTAGATCTAACCTCCAGTATCGGCTATGTAGTAGATTACCTCAGTATGTAGTAGATTACCTCAGTATGCAGTAGATTACCTCAGTATGTAGTAGATTACCATTGATTTAATGTAATAAATTCAACACCTCGTTGCCCTGGATCATCGATGGTAGTATTGTCTGTCATCAGTCACTGTAAGAGTATCTGTGTCTCAGCCTAACTGTACTTTGTAGTTACTTACAAGCGTCACAAGATTGCAGTAGCTACATTTCACACATTCCTGCAAATATTTCAAAATAAAAGCATCATTGTATTAAGAAATGCAGAGATTCTGTCCGCTGAACTGCTAGAGGGCTCTGAGGGTTTAAGTTGAGATGCAGGAAGTGTTGGGTTTGTATCAACAGCATAAGGAAACATATGTTCTACAGACTCTATATAAAACTATATGAATAAACGTGGTTTGAGTGGAGGTTGTTGATGTGAACCTACAGTGTGAACCTTCTGCTGCAGGAACCAAACCTGCCGCCTCTAAAGACACAGAGAAGAGAAGCTGCGTTGTTTCATACCAGGAACATGCTGAGAGTTTTTCCCATGATGCTGTTGAAGAGGTCGAGGGCGGAGTTTCCCGCCACCATGAAGAAGTCGGAGAGGAAGAGGTACTCCCTGCAGCCGTTGTCCAGTAGAGCGTAGTGCTGACTGCGAAACAACATCTCATACGGATACTGGAGGACAGACGGAGATGAACATTTATTGTACTGTGTTTCTCTAAATGGACCATCATCAGTAAATAAACATCAAGCTGTTTGAAAGAAGACTGAAACTAGAGACTGAGACCAGAAACTCATTTCTCCATAAGACTCAATACTATCAGAGTGGAGTTCCCCCTGCTGGCCACTGGGAAGAATGCAGGTCTCTGTGCATCATATATACTGTCAGCTGTCTCACCCTGCTGTCTCCTCTCTGAGCTGTGTGCGGGACCAGGATCGGTCCCTCCAGCTCTGCAGGACTCAGGATGGTCCCCCTCTGGCCCAGAGTGAAGATGGTGTTCCTGCTCTTCAGAGACGGTTTGGAGAAGAAACCTGCAGCAGGAAGTCAAGGAGCTTCGTCTCGACTGGACTTGACTGTGACACACACACACACACAGAGTCCTACGCACACACACTCAGGTTAAAGGATATCTTTCTTGGCTGTGTCTTCGACTCCCATCAGGTCGTCTTTGTCTGCAACCTCCTCGTACTGCAGGACACACAGATATCAGATTATTCCTTTGAGATAGAAATGAAGCGCTCCTATAACACAATGTAGTTTATTTCAGTTTCTTTCAACTGTTTTCTGATATAAGAAAATAAAAGCTCTACACTGCTGAATGATAAAGTAGAGCATATGTGACTCTTATTGTGAAAGGACCTGCGTGGATCCACTGACCTGCACTTTGAGCAACCTGCCGCTGTACGACTTGAAGTAGCTGTAGTAGATTTTGCTCATCGTGTCCACGTACTCGTCTCTGATCTCCTTGGCGACCGTTCTCTCGTTGGCCAAAAGGAACTGATAGAAAAATCTACAGCGAGACGAAAAGACAAAAGGACGCACCGGCGGTTCGCTTCCAGTCAGACGAGTTTTCAATGTGTTTTTATACCTGGACAACTTATTTCAGAACAAAACTAATGTAACAACAGAAAAACTAAACATATGAGCAATAATGTGGATGAATAAAAAGTGAGAGACTCAAAAGGCAAATAAAAGTGAGTCAATAAAAACTGAAGTCTTATACTGATCGAAGATTTCTTTAAAGCCACCAGACTCCATTGATAAAACAGTCAGTTGCTGGTCTACGGCTGCAGCGATTGGTTGGTTAGTTTGTGTTATTGTGTGTAGTTGGTGTTTAAACACGGTAGTTCGGATCTGAATCGGATCGAAGCAGCGACAGACCAGAAAACTCCGTAATCTGTGAGGTAAAAGTACTGTTTTTATCAATGGAGTCTGGTGGCTCTGAAGGGACAATATAAGGCTTCATCGTCCCGCTGTGAGGGGGTCGGACAGCAACGTAAAGCCACTTTAAAGAAAGCTATCCCTTCAGTAACGGACTCACCTGTACTTCAGCAGAGTGTTCTGGGGGATCTGGTAGTTGGTCATCGGCTTCCTGAAGGAGTAAATCTTCTGAAGGATGAACTCTCGGATCTTTGACACCGCCTGAAGTCACATATTAATATTAATATAGTTTCATGTCAAT